TGGAGATTTTGGCGAGCGGTCAGGGGAGGGAAGGCCGAGCAGGGCGAAGAGCGGAGACCGGCGGCGGCTGGTGCTCGACCCTTGGACCGGCAGGGGCACGACAAACGCCGGGAGAACACTCAATGGCAGCACCCCTAGAACCAACACCCCTAGAGCAAGAACCCCCTCCAGCACTAGTGGCACCCCCAGGCCCGCCGGGACAGACCATGCCAGGAGCCGCAGGACGAACACCCTGCTCAACGCCAGCACCCCCAGAGGCCAAGAACGGCAGCGGCGGCGGCGACGGCGGCGGCGGCAACGGCGGCTGCGACTGCGGAGGCGGAGACACCGGGGAAGGGGGACGCGGCAAGGACGGGGCGGGGGGACCACCAGAGTCAGCAGACTCCTCAACGGGGACAACCGACGGGAGGGAAGTAACATGAGAGACACCAGACGGAGCAGGACGAGGCAGGAGGGGAGGAGGGGCTACTGGGGGAGAGGGAGCAAGGAACAAGGGGGGGGGAAAGGGAGACCTCGGTAAGGGAAGTGACGATAGAAAAAGACAGACTCGTCAAAGGTGACGTCACGAGAGTGAAGGAAGCGGTGAGACTCCAGGTGGTAGAAGAGCCAGTCACACGACTCCAGGGGGAAACCGAGGAAGACACAGGGGACACTGCGGGCAATGAGCTTGTCTGTGCCAGAGGCACAAATGTGAGCAAGGCAACCCCAGACGTGGAACGGAGACGCGTCACCGGGGGACCCGGTCCAAAGGAGGGTCGGCGAAACCTGCGGCCGCTGGGAGCGTGGCCACAAGTTAAGCTGGTGAGCAGCGTAGCGGACAGCGAACGGCCACAGAAAATAGGGGGCATCGGCATGGATCATGGAGGTAGGAGTCACCTCCATGACCAAGCCGATGCGGTGCTCAGCAACCCTATTCTGCTGTGGCGAGTCCGGCAAGGTGTACGACTGGGTGATGCCCTCCGCATTACAGAACTGTCCAAGCCGACCAGAGGCGAACTCGCCGCCACGGTCAGAGTGGAGACACAATACGGGAAGACCGCGGTCAAGACGCGGAGCCACAACCCACGGGAGAAGAATGTCGGGCACGTCGGCCTTCCGCTCCAAGAGAAACACCGTGGTGTAGTGCGTGTAGTGGTCGACGAGCACAAGAAAGTAGCGCTCGCCACGCGGTCCGGGGACGGGGGCTGGGCCCAAAACGTCCAGGTGGAGGGTCTGAAGGGGAGCAGTAGCAGGGCGAGGCGAGGAGGAGTGAGGGGTACGGCGGAGCCGGTCCTCGACGCAAGGCGTGCACGGTGGCGCAGTTGAGGGGGGAGGGGCGGGGAGCGACTCTGGGAGGCCTAAGACAAGACCGTGCTGAGACATGTGACGCAAACGCGGGACAGCAGGGTGACCTAAGCGGTGGTGCCACAAAAGGGACGGGTGAGTGAGGGACCGACACGAGCAAGCTGCAGCGACCTGGGAGGACGCACCAACCGGGGTGGAAGCGGTGTCGAGGGTAAACAGACCGAACACCGGGTCCCGGGGGAACGTCGCAAGGGGGAAACCTGAGACAGCCTCGGTAGAGACAGCGAACCGCTCGTGCCCAGGGAACATAGTTGTGACGCCAAGGTCCTGAAGACAGCCGACACCAACCAGGTTCCTGGAGAACGAGGGAACGTGGCGAGGGAACCAGCCGACACCAGCCAGCAAGCGGCATGAGAGTGGAGCGGTCGCGGAAGAAATAGGCAGAAGCACCAGAGTCAAGAGTGAAGGACAGCGAGGCAGTAGCGGAGGCCGGGAACGGAGCTAGTGCAGAAGCTAGGCTAGGCAAACTAGGCAGTCCTACGCAGCAGGGGAGGCTAAGCTACACAGGGATGCTACACCCAAACTAGAGTACACAGGGTAATAAGATCCAGCAACAGTAGAAGCGTCAGCATACAAGGCATGCAAAGCAGCACCTATCTGATCCATATCTAGCTCAAAGATTGGCACGCCTTGGCGAAGCAGGCTGTGCCAGTCGGGGAGGTCGGGTGCGGGCGGCAAAGCGACGACAAAAGAGATCGTCGAGGCGGCGGAAACAGCGGTCGGTGGGGTGCGGGCGGCAGCACAGAGTGCCGCGGAGAGGCCCAGTCTGAAGCTGATACTGGCAGGTCACACCAACGGAGCTGCCGGTAGACGCCAAGCTGCGCGGGCCGCCACCACGGCCACCACCTACGGAGGTGCCGGGCCAACCCGGGGGGAGGCGAGCCCACGGCAGGGGCTGGGACTGCTGCTGCGACGACTGCGATTGCTGCGACGGCTGCTGCGGCTGCTCCTGCTGCTGGGGCGACGGCTGCTGCTCTGGACTAGCGGCGGCAGTCCCCTCAGTAGAACCACTATCCACGGCACCACTACCACTACAACCAGCTCCACCACCACGCCCTCCCTGGCGGCCACGACCGGCGCGGCGCGGGCGCTGCTACGGTGGACCGTCGCTGCAGTCTCGGTCAGAGGGGTCGCAGTGGGGACCGCAGCCAAAACGTCAGTAAACGTGCACTGGGAGGGGGCACAGCCGTGAAAGATAGAGACTGCCGGCGCACCGCTCGACTGAGCGATAGTGCGCTGGCGAGTCTCGATCTCGGTCAGGGCGGTGACAAAGGCTGTCAGCGTGAGATCATTCAGGTGCTGTCTAAGGATGTGGTCGCGTGCACCAGCAAGGCGGTTAGGCTAGCGCATAGCGATAAAGTAGAGGGTCATGTAGAAGGGGGGGGGGGGCGTAGTGAGCTGGGCAGCAGTGCTAGCAGTGCAGTAGTGAGACTCTAGGGCTCGCAGGTGAGTGGCAAGGTCAGCAACAGTAGGGAAGGAAGCAAGGTCTAGGAAAAGCATAGGGAAGAGCAGGCGGCCTGCAGTAGTAGAGGCAGGCGTGGAATAGCGAGCAACAACAGCATCTAAGTAAGCTCTGGCTATATCAACTGTAGCGAAACGCGAACGCTCAGACACAGGGAGGGCGTGACTCATAGCGACCTGAGCAACTGCATCGCGAGAGTCCCAGACGGCACAGGCAAGTGCAGCAGCAGAGAAAGCCTCACGCTCAGCAGAGGTGGGGTCAGCAGGGAGGGGAGCAGGCGCAGGGGGGCGGGGGAGCAAGCCATCAGCATGGACAACCAAGGAGTGCCCATCATGGCGCTGACCTGTGAGTTGACGGCGGAGATCGGACAGCCACGCGGCGAAGGCAACCGCGTGGCCCTCAGCGTCCAGGCGGAGTACGAAGTCCGCCATCGTGCAGGGTCAGCGACACTGGGACACAGCGGCACAGCTCCACAGGACACAGCGGCACAGGGACACAGCAGCACAGCTTCAGGAGGACGTCTGCAAGATGCTCCAGCGCGGGCAAGCGGAAGACAAGGGGCCGGAGACTCGAGGAACCGTGCCGAGCAGAAGACACGGGGCCGCAGGAGCCGGGCGGGCACTGGGAGCTGCGGGCCGCAGGAGCCGGGCGGGCGTATCGGGGCCGGGTTGGCGCTAGGAGGGGCCGAGCGGGCGCTAGGAGGGGCCGAGCAGGCGCTAGGAGGGGCCGGGCGGGTGCTAGGAGGGGCCGGGCGAGCGCTAGGAGGGCCGGGCGCAACGGGCCGGGCGGGCGCTAGGAGGGGCCGGGCGGGCGTAACGGGCCGGGCGGGCGCAAGTAGGGGCCGGGCGGGCGCTGTGGGACGGGCGAGCGCAACGGGCCGGGCAGGCGCTAGGAGGGGCCGGGCGGGCGCTAGGAGGGGCCGGGCGGGTGCTGTGGGACGGGTGGGCGCGACGGGCCGGGCGGGCGCGGAGGGGCCAAGCGGGCGCTAGGGGCCAGGGTGGTGCAGAGGGGCCAGGCGGGCGCGACGGACCAGGCGGGCGCTAAGGGGCCTGGCGTGCACAAAGGGGCCAGGCGGGCACGACGGGGCCAGGCGGGTGCGACGGGGCCAGGCGGGTGCGATGGGCCGGGCGGGCGCGACGGGCGGGTGCTATGGGCCGGGCAGGCGCTATGGGCCGGGCGGGCGCGACGGGCGCTAAGGGGCGGGCGGGCGCTACGGGCTAGGTAGGGGGCGAGAGGCTAGGGCGCGGGCGGAAGCGGGTGGGTGAACCTAACCTACTTGTGATACCATGCTAGAATGCGAGAATGGTTGGACTAGTGAGAGAAGCCTAGAACATATACCTGTTGGGGTTGTAGTCACTAGAAGCACACACCTAGGCTAGCCTATAACTTCTACATACAGCATATGTATAAGTTGACACTGGGGGCTGCGCTGGCGGCTGCGGTACTGCAGCTGCAGCGACAGCGGCAGCAGCTCTGGCGGTTGCGGCAGCAGCGCTGGTGGCTGCAGCTGGTGGCTGCTGCTGACTGGCAGCAAGCAGCGGCCAACTGGAGCGGGCGGCAAACAGCGGGCAGGGGGGGGGGGGGGGGGGGGGGCAGGGGGGACGGCGCGCAGCGGGCGGCGCAAAGCGGGCGGCGTGCAGTGGGCAACGCGCAGCGGGCGGCGCAAAGCGGGCGGCGTGCAGTGGGCAGCGCGCAGCGGTCGACAGGCAGCGGGCAGGGCGCAGCGGGCGGCGGGCAGCAGGCGGCGCGCTGTGGGCAGCATGCAGCGAGCGGCGCACAGCGGGAGGCGGAAGCGGCAGTGGGCAGCGGGCAGCACGAGCGCGAGTGGCAGCGGGCGGCCAGCGGCGGCGGGCAGCCAGCAGGCAGCGCGAGCGGCAGCGGCCAGTGGCAGCAGGCGGCCAGCGGGCAGGGCGAGTGCGAGCAGCAGCGGGCGGCCAGCGGCAGCGGGCAGCTCGAGCGCGAGCAGCGGGCAGCAGCAGCAGGCAGCGGCCAGCGCAAGGAGCGAGCTAAGGCTAGGGCTAGGGCACAGGCTAGGGCTAGGGCGCCGACTAGTGCGTAGTCTAGGACGACAGTCTAGGGCGAGAGGGGAGTGAGGAGTACCGTACCTAGGGCGGAAGGGTGGAGGTTAGGACCTAACCTAGCGATGATACCATGTCAAGAAGCGAGAATGATTGGAGAGGCACATACAAATATGTACACTAACAAGAGGTGTCAAGATGCACATTCCAATGCGCTTCAATTCAATAATACACGCAATGGATCCATGGTGCGTATGAATATGCCCTAACTTGAGGCAAAGCTGAAGTTAGCAGTTCAGCACATAATTTGGAGCGAGAACTGCATCAATGCCATGCACCACCATTTGCCGGGAGATTAGCACATTTGGTCGAACCACATGCCCCCTTGCTGCTAGCCGCTTTGCCCTCTCCGCTGCTGCAAGTGCCCCCGCTGGGCCTGGGCCTACCACCACCTCTGCACCAGCAGCTGATGGTACAGCAGCTGTAGCAGCAGCCCTAGAGTTGCCTTGACCCTGTGCTTCTGTGCCTTGGTCTGAGCCTCCAGTGTTGGCTAGTGGAGGCAGAACGAGTGGGGCGTCTATGACAGCCAGCAGCACGCGCCGCTTGCCGTGCTGCAGGGCGGCGTCGGGTAGGCGCACCAGGTCCACTCCCTCTGTGCGGAACTGCTTGGGGGGGGGGGGGGGCAGAGTGGGAGTCAGTCAGGGCCAGCAGAGAAAGCGCAAAAAAAGGTACCCATGGGCACAAAGCCAGCTGTAAGCAGGGTGTGCTCGCTGTGGCCATGAGATGAGCCTCTGGCATGCGCATGCTCGACCAGTCCAGGATCTTGCTGCCTCAATCAAGCACGGTCCCTTGAGCACATGTTCCTGCCCGCTTTCTCTAGGCGATGCTGGGCGAGTACGGCATGCATGATCACGTGGCAGTCTGCCAAGGCCACGAGGCTGAAAGCGGGGCGAGGCCAGCCACAGATGGCACGGCTAGGCAGAGGAGCCACATGAACAAGTGAAGGCATCCTGGGGCCGGAGGGGCTAGGAGTACAGTGCTGCAGCGGGGGTTGCGGATAAGGTAAGGCTTATAAAAAGATATCCTGAAGCGAGAGACGCAATGCTGCTTTGCTCGAACCCTTCCAGCAAAGCCTTGCTGTCCACTCACCCGTCCCACCCCACCCGCCCCTGTGGCTCCCCATTCCTCCCCTTTGCTTACCTCGAATCCCGGCGCCTTGAGCGCGATGCGCGAGAAGGGGAAGCGCCCGCCCACGAAGTGGGTGGCGGCGAGGGTGAGGCGCGAGTCGGCGTCGGCGCACAGCCGCGGGTGCTGCGCCGCCAGGCGGGCAAAGGCGGCGTCGGTGGGCGCCAAGAGCGTGAAGCGCGTGCCGTTGGCGAGAGACTCCCACAGGAGAGACGGCACCTCTGCGAGGGGAGGGGGGGAAGACACGGGGGAGATGCGGAAACGGATTGGGTGGACCAAGAGGGATTGAGAGCGGAAGAGAGGGGGAGAGGGTCAGGCAGAACGGCTGGGGAATGGACAGGGACGAGGTGTACGGCGGGTGAGGCGAGGCACGAGGCACAGCAGGCATGAGCGAGGTATCCTCTGCCACAAGAGACGCTGGCGGCTGTGGCGTGCGCGGATCATGCGGGGGCGGCGGCGAGCTCAAGAAGCGGCGCAGAAAATGCGGCCAACGCGGGCGAGGGCGAGACGCGAGGCGCTACGCTCCCCGGGCTTCCAATAATGCCTCTTCCTTCAACGCGCCCCTTCCCTCCCCGATTCCCTTGATGTTCTTCTATTCACCTTTCATTCTCGCCGACTTTGGCTTTCCCCCGCCGCACCTGTGCGCTTGAGCGCCGCGGCGAACTGCGCGAATGGCCCCGCGGGCTGCTCCAGAAACGCCATCAGCCGCGCCACCTCCTCCGCCGGGCTGCGCTCGGGAAGCGGCGCGGCGACGCAGGGGAGCGGAAGGGCGCAGTGCGCCACGAGAACGAGCGACGTCAGCAGACGCAACCGCAGATTGAACGCGCCGAGTGGCTGACAGCGCGAGGCCATGGCGCCGCGTTCGGACATGTGGCGGCTCGTTATTAGCTTCATCAGGGTGTGGTCGCGCTTTGCTCTCCAGCGCGGGTCAGGGTGAGCGTGCGAGTACGCACGTTCAAGTACTTACCAGTGAACAACACTCAATGATGGTACACAGTGAGCGAGCTATTCAACATGATGATAAACATTAGCTAACCACCACAATGTTGGTGCTTACTGGCTGCTGTGGTGCTTCAACACCACAAGAAAACGTTTCCGCACAATACCATACGCAACCGTTCTAGAGTTTTATCTGACCGTTCTAAAACGTATAATATCTTTACGAACCGCAATCGGCCGTACTTTTATGACACGCCTTAGGGGGAATGGGTGGGTGGGGTTTTCTCGTTTGCTGGGTGGGATGCGCCAAGGGTCAAGCAGAAAGTGAGCGGCTGTTGGAGCATGTGGGACGTCGGAGCGCGCACGTCGCAGCAGTCCCCCTACTGTTGTGCCTATGAGCGAAGTGACATCAGCAAATCACACCAAAGCGAGAGATAGGGTTGAAGCAAACTTGAGATATATTGTCATGGCTAAGCTTGTAATTGTTCCGTTGAGTAGCAACCTTAGGGCCTGTTCCTGCATGAGTCGTAACACAATGTCAGCCTACTTCGTATCATTTGGGATTTTGCCTGTCAAATTTACCCTCACAATACAGTTTTGACACGTAGTAACGTGACATTGTGTCACGTAGGGACACGCCCTTATACATTTGGTTTCAAATTTTTATGCACCGGTTTGGCCAATCAAGTTATTAAGGCATCCGCCAATAAAATCTGTTATAGAAGCCAAATACATTTTTTCTCATCCGCCTCGTCGATTAATGCGGCGATGAAAGACCGGACAACATATTCAATCTCTAACACAAACAGATGCATCTCAAGGTATGCCTAAAGTGGGATGTCGACTTTTGTCAATGAATGTGGGGGTCTCTATCAGAAAGAAAAATGATTGAACTAGAATCTGTGTGTACAAGGATATATAGACTAGGGTGTTGTACCCTCTAAGGCACAATCCAGTATAGTCTACAGTAACAACCTAAGTTACATTTGACACACCCCCTTGACTATATAGGGGCAATGCCTAACAAGGGAAGAAGCAGCTCAGGGCGGCACTACTAGTCTAGCCTCTGAAACAAGGGTCTAAAGACCAGTCAAAAGGAGTACAGACAAGGCAAGAGCAAGCCCAGGGTGGCACTACTAGTCCAGCCTCTGGGAGAGGCCACAAGGCCAGTCAGGGTAAAATATAGATATAAAGGACAATACAAAGTCAAGGCCCTAGCAAATGAGAGGCTACACGAACGAGACCCAGCTGTACACAGTGCCGCTGATGATCTTTAGGCGCAAGCGCCTTCGTAAAGATATCAGCTGTGTTGGCACCGGAGGCCAAGTGTACTACGCGCGCATGGCGACGCTGCTGCAGCTCACGCAGGAGGAAGTACCGCAGCTGAATGTGCTTTGCTCTGCCCTCGAGTCGAGGCTCCTGACACAGGAGGAACATGGCCCTGTTGTCACCGTACAGGACCGGGGCAGAGCTAGGCCGCTCACCTAAGTCAGTGAGCAAGAAGGTCAGCCAGCGGAGCTCCAATGCCGCCATGGCACCAGCGTAGATCTCGGCCTCACAGCTGGACTGGGCAACGGACGAGGAGCGGGAAGCTCTCCACGAGACGGCATCTGAACCAAGGCTAAAGCAGTAGCCCTGTAAGGACCTGAGGGTCTCGGCGTCGTCCGCCCAAGAAGCGTCTGTGTGTCCAGTAAGAACCACTGGCCTACGTCCTCCTAGTACTAACCCCATGCCCGATGTACTCGCAAGATAACCCAAAACCCTCTTAGCGGCAGACCAGTGCTGAGGTCGGTGTGTGCCTGTAGCCACAAAGCGAGCAAGGATGCTGAGATGGTATGCGAGATCTGGGCGCGTGCAAGTCATCAGGTACATGAGGCAACCCACCAGCTCTGCGTAAGGACCACTGGGCTCTGCTGACTCCTCAGGAACTGGAGCGGAGAGCTTGTGGTCTAGAGGTAGAGGAGTAGGCTGTGCGGAGGAGAACTGAAGGCCGAACCTCTGAAGGACCTGGCGCACCAAGTGTGACTGAGTCAAGGTGATGGTGCGCGCTGCTCTGTCCCTGGAGATCTACAAGCCAAGGTAGTGGCGCAGTTCTCCAAGGTCAGTGCAGGTGTGTCTCTTCAGCAGCTCTGCCTTCACGGAGGCCAGTGCGTCCCTGTCTACCGTGGCGAAGACCAGGTCGTCTACGTAAACAAGGATGTAGAACGGAGTCTGGCCAGCACGAACGAAGAGCGAGGGGTCTGCAGAGGACGGAAAGAACTGTAGGTCAGCAAGCGTAGCACGCAGCGTGTCGTGCCACTCACGGGGAGCCTGCCGCAGGCCGTAGACGGGGCGACGGAGGAGCCACTGGATCCCAGGAGGGAAGGTACCAGTGAAGCCCTGAGGGCGACGCAGGTAGACCTGCTCGTGTAGACTGCCCTGAAGAAACGCAGTGGAGAAGTCGAGAGAGTGAAGCTCGTAGTCACGCTGCGTTGCTACGTGTAGTAGCACTTGAAGAGTATTCATCTTTGGGGTCGGAGCGAAGGTCTGGAAGAAGTCCACCCCCTCACGCTGACTGAAACCTCTAGCCACGTAGCGCGCCTTGAACACAGGCGGCTCTCTAGGAGGGTGCTTCAGCTTGAAGAGCCAGCGGCCATCAACTACGTTCACCCCAGGTGGGGGAACTGCATCGACGTAGGTGCCAGTGGATCTCCAAGATGCCATGTCCTGCTCCATGGCAGCTATCCATTGAGAGGCATAGGGCCCGGAGACCGCTTCAGCGTAAGTGCGAGAGGTCGGGATGTCGAAAGTGTCGGGGTCACCCTCAGGGACTAGAAGCATGGAACAGAGATGGGGAGCAGCCTCGGACAGGAAAGCAAGCTCGTATTGTCGGTCCTCCAGGACCTCAATGCCAAGGGCAGGAGCACCCCCGACAGACGGAGGACAGGCAGGGTCGGAGACCAGAGCGGTGGCGTAGTCAAGGCGGCGGGTAGAGGTGAAGTCAGCGACCGCAGCGACAAGGGCGCCAAGGGTCGAAACCGGAACAGACGGGTCGGTAACGAGAGAGGCAAGGACCCGAGGAACAAGAGGACGACCGGCACGCAGGTAGTCAGACAGAGGGGGGGAAGCAACCACAAGGGAGGACGGAGGGGGCGACGGGAGAAGGGGAGGACGAGACGTGTGGGAACGAAGCAACATAGGGTGAGAGCGCGAGATAGGGGAGACAGGTCGAGCACGGGAGGGACGGCGAGACCAGACGTGAGACGGGGGAGTTGGGTCAGGAGACAGAGGAGGGGACACAGGAGGGGAACGAGGGGGGAAACGGGCCGGAGACGCGTCCGGAGGAGGGAACACAGGGCCGGAGACAGGAGGAGGAGGAGGCACGGGCACGGGGTCAGGGGACGGAAGGCCGAGCAGGCGAAGAGCGGCCACCGGCGGGGACTGCTGTGACGGCGGTGTGACGCCGACACCGGGAGCGCAAGCTGCTGGGCGGCTACCACTAGAACACTCTCCACCAGCACCCCCAGAAGAAACACCCCCAGAGCTCAGAACCCCTCGAGCACCGGTACCACCCCCAGGCCCGCCGGGACAAGCCACGATAGGAGTCCAAGGACTAGTACCCACCCCAAATCCAGCAACCCCAGAGGCAACAAACTCCTGCGGCGACGGCTGCGGCGGCGGCGGTCGCAACGACGGCTGCGGCGACGGCGGCGGCGATGACGACGCTGCAACAGCGGTGGCAACTGCGGCTGCGGAGGCAGCGGAGGAGGGGACACATGAGAAGGGGCAGGCGGCGAGGACTGCGCCGCAGGACTACTAGAGTCAGTAGACTCCTCAACCGGTACAACCGACGTAAGTGGGGTGACGTGGGACACACCAGAGGGGGCAGGACGGGGAGGGGGGGGAGTAGGGGCAGCGATGACCGGGGAAGGGGTGACCAGGAACAGGGGGGGGGTAACCGGGGGACCTCGGTGGGGGAAGCGGCGGAAGAAGGAGACGAACTCGTCAAAGGTGACTTCACGGGAGTGAAAGAACCTGTGATACGGTGGGTGGTAGAAGTGCCAGTCAGACACAGGGAAGGGTGTGGGTAGTGAGCTTGTCCGTGCCAGAGGCACGAACGTGAGCAAGACAGCCCCAGACGTGGAACGCAGACGCGTCAGCAGGTGACCCAGACCAAAGGAGGGTCGGCGAAACCTGAGGCTGCTGGGGGTGCGGCCACAGGTGAAGCTGGTGAGCGGCGTAGCGAACGGCGAACGACCACTGAAAATGGGGTGCACCAGCATGGATCATGGAGGTGCGAGCCACCTCCATGACCAAACCGATGCGTCGCTCAGCGACCCCATTCTGCTGCGGGGAGTCCGACAAGGTGAACGTCTGGGTGATGCCCTCCGCACGATAGAAACGACGAAGGACACCAGAGGCAAACTCGCCACCACGGTCAAAGTGGAGGCGCAAGACAGGGAGACCGCGACGGACATGCACAGCGACAAGCCACGGGATAAGAACGTCAGGCACGTCGGCCTTCCGCTCCAGGGGGAACACAGAGGTATAGCGCATGTAGTCGTCGACAAGCACTAGGAAGTAGCGCTCTCGACGCGGCCCATGGATGGGGGCGGGGCCCCAGACGTCCATGTGCAGTGTCTGTAGCGGTGCGGCGGTAGGGGGAAACGAGGAGGAGTGAGGAGCACGGCGAAGCCGGCCCTCGACACAAGGCGTGCAAGGTGGGGCAGGGGAGGAGGGAAACTCAGAGAACGACCCAGAGAGGCCTAGGACGAGACCGTGCTGTGACATGTGACGCAGACGCAGGAGCGCAGGGTGACCTAGACAGTGGTGCCACAGGAGATTCGGGTGGGTGAGTGACCGATAGGAGCAGGCAGCAGCAACTTGGGTAGATGCAGCCACCTGAGGGGAGGTCCCAGCCGGAGGGGTCACAGTGTCCAGTGTGAACAATCCGGACACCGGGTCCCGGGGGAACGTGGTAAGGGGGGCACCAGTGGCGGCCTCGGTATAGACAACGTACCACTCGTGACCAGGGAATGTAGTGGTGACGCCAAGGTCCTGGAGGCAGCCGACACCAACTAGGTTCCTGGAGAACAAGGGGATGTGCAGTCCTGTGAG